TTGTTCTTAAAGACAAAGAGGAAGTTGGAAAGTGATTACTAAAAGAATACAAGTAACTTGAATTAGATAGTTATTCACAAGTTAAAATATTTAGCTGCAGCTTGAAATGTAACTTCACCAATGAAAAGGAAAGGATAGGCAGTTGTCTAGTAAATTTAAAGCTTTGTAAAGCCTTAAATATTAATTTTTTCTCAGTTTTCTGGATAACTACTTTCTTCAAGATAAAATTGCCAGAAAAGTTGTTTCTAGCAACCGTTATGAATCTTTTGAAAATAGGAGTTCTAGAATGATCAATTCTACTTTTAGATGGGGATTATTGAAAATCAGCAGTGAAGAAAGAATGTAAAGAAATGGTTTGCGGACTAAATACTTTTCCATTTGGATTTGTTCTATATTGATTTAGTCTTCCTGCAATAGACTACCCATTTCAGGTAAGAAATATTGGTGTGAATTAAGCTCAGCAGAAGTACTAAGCAAAATTATCTACTCTGAAGCAACTCATGTTACCTACAATGACGCATAAAGATGTATGGTATTTATTTAACTTTCTTCCAACTTCTATTTTTGTAAACTTTGCTTTAAAAAAAAAAAACTATTTTGTAGTTTTGAGAATTTGGTTGAGAATAAGGTATTTCCTAGAATACTTTTAACTATAAGAACGTATTACATTGAATATTTGATACCCAAAAAGAAGTAGAGCTGATTCTGTTGAGACATTCTTCCCCATAGTGGTTATAGTTTGAGAGCTGGCTCACGTTTGATAAGAAGTCCTTTTCCTTATATTTAGTGCTGACTTTCATAACTGAAATCAAAATAATCTACTTTTTTCTATATTGTGTTCTCTGATTCATAATTGTCCATAACTTTTTCATAAGGACAAGGTAGTAAATGGTTAGGTAATTGTCATAGGAAGAAATTAAAGTATGAAAGTAATAAAAAGGCAACTATTTTATTCAATTATCCATTCATTCAGATGACTATGTCCTTATTATATGTTCAGAACTGTTGCTGAGCAAACAATCTGTAACAAATATAGCCCTTACTTTCAAGGTGCTTATAGTAGAGTAAAGAAGTAAGACATTGACACAAGTAACTATAATAGAATTGGAAATAAGTGCCGTAGGAGAGTTAGATATACGGGCATCCAGAGGAAAGAGAAATTGCTTCTCTATGTCGTTAATGTTACAATGAGCAGGATTTAGCAATATTTGAGATTCAGGACTCAAGAACATTCACCTCTCAACATCACCTGTGGCTCCAGGGGCATTTCAACTACACATCAGACAATTTTAATTTACTATTGCACATCTCTACATAAATATCAGGATTTCAAAATCGCCATGTCCAAAACTAAACATCATTTTTCTTACTAAACCATCTCCCCGTATCTTTCCTAATTTCTGCTCCCAAGCCATTTTCCTATTTCTGGTATTCAAATAACCCTGTCTCTAGATTTCAGTCACATTCCCCCTCATTGCCAGTCAATGATATGTCAAATCACACATTTTCTACTTTCTTAAAGCTCTTCGTAGACCCTTTGTTTCATTTTATTGGCAGGCTCTTGGATTTGCAATGATATTTGAACTAGTTTATCTTTTATTTTTCTTTTTATTTATTTTTTGGTTTTTTAATTTTTTATTTCCTTTTTTTAAAAATTTTTCTTTATCTTTTATTTTTCTTGACTCTAATAGTCTAATCTATATTCTGCTGACAGATTAATCTTCCCATTTTATAGCCATGATCACATAATTCTCATACTCAAACACATTTATAGACTCAAACGAATTAACTATATGAATCAATATTTCTCATTCTGATATTCACTGTCTCCTGAGGCTATTTCCAACCTTATTTCCCAGTACTTAACTATGCCCAAAGTGTAACCACTTTACATTTCTAGACTAGAATATACCAATGTTACAATGTATCTACTGAATAAATTTTGTTCCTCTGGAACCTGTTGATTATCAAGCTTCAAAGCTTATAATAATTTCCACTTTAATATGTGGCCTTTTCTGATGTCCTTATACCCTAACCAGGCTAGCTGTAAATTTTCTGTGTTATTCTTTATTTACCTCTTAAAGCCTACAAGATAATCAAACTTATATGTAACTTCCCTCATCTTCCTCTCTCCCCCACTTCTACAGTGAGGGTTAAGTTTTATTAAGTTCTATAAACCTACAATATTTAGCATGGAGTCTGCTGATAGCGTGTTTAATCTTCCTTTTTCATGAAATTGAATGTTCAATCACTAACAAATTAATTTCTCAAAGCAATTAAATCCTTATTCATATGCCAGTAAAGAAAATGGTGTTTGTCCCCGTCTGAGAATGCCTACCATATTTTAATCTTTCCCACATTGAGGTAAATTTCAATCAGCAAGCAGCACTTGATGAGTACATGCGTATTGTTTCCTCCTTCTTGGAATCTCTCTTCGTTAACTTCTCTCTGTCCTGACAGTCAAAAGCTCATCCATACTAGATTTAAAAGCCATAAAAGCCACTGTAGGGGTCTGTTCAGTTTTAAACACAATTTAGAAAACCTTAGGAAAGAATGGCAATTCCCTTTCAGAAATCTCCCATACATATTTCAATAGAACAGCTTTCCAAATTGGAGATTGAAAAATATTATACCACCAACCAAGTAACAAAAAGTCACTCACTGACTGTGATGTAGAAAGATTCCCTTGATTTTCACAAAGAGCACAAAAGACTATATTTTACTTATTTAAATCTGAGACTGACACAAAACGTCAGAAAAAAAGAAAAGTAGTCAATTCATCTAAAAGATCATTATTTAGGAATAAATTGCTATGCAAAAATGCATGGATCTGCTTGACAGCTTGTGAATTTAATAAGGCAGATGAAATGCCTCCCTCCCTCGCCCCCAAGAATCAACTTTGCTGAAGAAATATGTTAATCATCCTAAGTTTGAGGAATATATAAAGCTCTAAAATCAATGTGTACCTGGAACCGGGGGTTAAGGAAAAAAAAAACATAATCAGCTTAGGAAATGCTTTATTTCCTGTGCTTAATCTGCAAAGAAAAACAAAGCAGGCAGAGCCAGGTGCAACAAAATCATACACGTTGATGGGAAATTCAGTCTTTTCATGCTCCACTCAGATGGTCAATTTATACGCCTGAGCTATAGCCTCCCCTTCTAAGACAAATGGAGTAGCTTTGGTTTATTTGTTTGTTTACAAACACTGGCCTTCGGTTAACCTGTAGACTTGTCGCTGACTTGAAGGAGATAGTTATTATGTAACTATTGTCTCTGCTCAAATGGGAAATTATTCTACAGGGGTTAACGGTTCATTAGAAAGAAGACAATGTTAACAGGTTGGGCTCATTACCAGTAAGCAAAAGGAGGTGTGTATTTTCCAAAAATGACCACAACAGAAGAGCCTGGAGGACATCTCTGGGTTGTCCTTTACCTTCATGTCTTAAGGCCAGGTATTGCAGGCCACTTCTATTGATGCTATTCTGCTTTACTTTCGGAAGGATGAATGATCTATTCAGTTTAATAGTGCCAGCAAAGTAGTCTACTCACCAATGCTTGCAGACCTGGAGCAGTGAGCAGTTTAAGCCAGCCTTTCAGACTTTACACTAATCTGTATATCTAATTGTTAGCAGTGTTTTCCATGGCATTGAGATTCCTATCAATCTTCCCCAAGCACTCTGACGTTACTTACAAGCTATGTAATGATTTCTGTGGCACCACATATTCTTTACTTAAAACGATTTGACTCCAGTAACTCTTCTAATTTAAATTTTCTGATCTTGATGCTTGTTGCAACTTAACTTCAGAAACTCCAAGATGCAAGATGAGCAAATCTGTGTGAATTTGAAGTGTTTTTGAATTTGTCCTAAATTTACATAGATATTTTGAGAAATGACTGATAAAATGCTGTTCAGGAGGGATGTACTTATTTTTTCCGACAATCACTGTAAATTAGAATTTTGCAGGCAGCAATCTTTTAAATTGAAAATGAGCAAAACAAAATTAGAAATGAATGTTTCTGGTTTTTTTCCCCCAAGACCTCTCAGAGTCTGAATCGTCTTTCCCAATTGTGTTCTTTTATGGTAGTTTGTACTTCAATTTTCACACTTATTAAATCTATTTTGTATTAAAATCACATGCTTATTTCTCCCAATTGTACATCACTATGGGCAAGGACATCTTACTTGTTTTTATATTCCTTCCAGTACAGGGTAGGAACCTAATAAATATTGATTAAATTGTTTATTTTCAATCGCTCAGGAAGGGTTAAAAGTCAAATGTAAATCATTCTCGAAATTGTCCATTAATATATTCAAGGCTTATGTAGATACATACCTATCTTTTATCTGAGTTTCTTAGCCAGGAGTAAATAGGTAGGATTTTATGTTTAACTATTCCTGAAATGTTATGCCAAATATGTATATGTGCTTAGATATGTACATATTTCTTCAGCAAAGGTCTATAGACTGTAATCAAATGAATCTCTCTCTACTCACCCTACCCCAAAATATAAAGATACACTTCCCTAGGCAGCTTTACCCAACTTCTCAATTTATCAGACCTGAAAAAAGGTTGGGAAAAATACAGGCTAATATCTGCAATATAATATCTGCGATTATAGCCTTTCACCCACACATGCCAATCTTATTTCTGAGCAACATCTGAAAACAATGTATTTTGTAGAGAAAGTATATTTTTAACCAGTATTCTATTCCCAGATTTTTATGCTTAAAAGGGGCCACTGTACGTTTCCAGTACTTTGTGATTTCATGAAACATGCTTTCAGGGTGCTGTACTCACAACATTTCCCTTCCATATAAACAAATATGATCTCTCTCAAGCCTTCTCCATGCACTCCAAGTCAACATTCAAACATTGAACTCATTAAAGGAATTGCTGCATCAAAGTGTCAGGGGAAGATCCCTGAAAGTAAACTGAGGCTGAGTCACCCACTACTGATTTCCAATCTGTACCACCAGAAGAATAAGAGACAAAGATACCTGTGTCGACGTCACTGCTGCAAAGACTGGGCAGAAGAAAAAGCATGGTCACTTGAAGCAGTTCCATGGTGCCTGTAGATGGTGTCAATGGCTTCTCTCTCAAGAGGCAGGCAGGGACAATTCCCTCCCAGCCTGGCAGGGCCTTATTAGCAAATGGAAAAGGTGTATTGAATGTGAATAGCCACTGCCCATTCCTACTTATTTTGGGGGCTCTGATAAAGAACGGGAGGAAATACACACGCTCCCTTTGGGAGTTCAGCAGAGAGGAGATTTATTGTTTCAGTCTCTTACAGGAACTCTTTTTTTTCTCTCTCTCTTCCTTTGGCAGCCACTTGTGTTTTTGTTACTACATTATTTTGTTCTTCTTCAACAGAAAGGTCAGGACGGGTTTTGAACAGAAAGAGATCCTTCTAGAGAATGGATCACAGCGCCTTCTAACTTTTGTTTTGAAAGTGCATTTTGAAGTGGTTATAAAGGGGCCTCATTTAGCAGCTACTCCCTTGGGACAAAGAGGCTTTCACTGCCTGAGGCTAAATTTTAGGGCAAAATCCATCAGGAATCAACTTAAGTTTTCTCTTTCCAACTTAAAAGCCAGGTTAGTGAAGCCCACCTTGTGAATATCAGTGAAAAATTGTATTAAATAGATTATACTCTGCTCTTGAGTAAGCAAAAAGACTTTTAAAGGATGTCCAGAGGCTTTTCCAGAACTTTTTTTTTCCCATTTATTTATTTTATTGCATTTTAGGTTTTGGGGTACATGTGAAGAACATGCAAAATTGTTGCATAGATACACACGTGGCAGTGTGATTTGCTGCCTTCCTCCCCATCACCTACATCTGGCATCTCTCCCCTTGCTATCTCTCCCCAGCTCCCCACCCCTCACCGTCCCTCCCCTATTTCCCCCCAACTGACCCCAGTGTGTAGTGCTCCCCTCCCTGTGTCCATGTGTTCTCATTGTTCAACACCTGCCTATGAGTGAGAACATTCGGTGTTTGATCTTCTGCTTTTCTGTCAGTTTGCTGAGAATAATGGTTTCCAGGTTCATCCATGTCCCTACAAAGGACCCAAACTCATCGTTTTTGATGGCTGCATACTATCCCATGGTGTATATGTGCCACATTTTCCCTATCCAGTCTATCGTCGATGGGCATTTGGGTTGGTTCCAGGTCTTTGCTGCTGTAAACAGTGCTGCAATGAACATTCGTGTGCACGTGCCCTTATAATAGAACGATTTGTAATCCTTTGGATATATACCCAGTAATGGGATTGCTGGGTCAAATGGAATTTCTATTTCTAGGTCCTTGAGGAATTGCCACACTGTCTTCCACAATGGTTGAACTAATTTACACTCCCACCAACAGTGCAAAAGTGTTCCTATTTCTCCACATCCTCTCCAACATCATATGGAACCAAAAGAGAGCCCTCATAGCCAAGTCAATTCTAAGCAAAAAGAACAAAGCGGGAGGCATCACACTACCCGACTTCAAACAATACTACAAGGCTACAGTAATCAAAACAGCATGGTACTGGTACCAAAACAGAGATATAGACCAATGGAACAGAACAGAGGTCTTGGAGGCAACACAACATATCTACAACCATCTTATCTTTGACAAACCAGACAAAAACAAGCAATGGGGAAAGGATTCCCTGTTCAATAAATGGTGTTGGGAAAGCTGCCTAGCCATGTGCAGAAAGCAGAAACTGGACCCCTTCCTGACACCTTACACTAAAATTAACTCCAGATGGATTAAAGACAAACATAAGACCTAACATCATAAAAACCCTAGAAGAAAATCTAGGCAAAACCATTCAGGACATAGGTGTAGGCAAGGACTTCATGACCAAAACACCAAAAGCATTGACAACAAAAGCCAAAATAGACAAATGGGACCTAATCAAACTCCACAGCTTCTGCAGAGCAAAAGAAACCGTCATTAGAGCAAATTGGCAACCAGCAGAATGGGAAAAAATTTTTGCAGTCTACCCATCTGACAAAGGGCTAATATCCAGAATTTACAAAGAACTAAAACAGATTTACAAGAAAAAAACTAACAAGCCCATTCAAAAGTGGGCAAAGGATATGAACAGACACTTTACAAAAGAAGACATACATGAGGCCAACAAACATATGAAAAAATGCTCATCATCACTGGTCATCAGAGAAATGCAAATCAAAACTACATTGAGATACCATCTCACACCAGTTAGAATGGCGATCATTAAAAAATCCAGAACTTTTTAATAGAATTAAGCAAAGACATGTGAATGTCCATTGACCACTTCTGGTTTTTACTAAAGGACTTTGATGATGAATAACGAATAATTACTTATAATACCTCATGAATGCTCTTCTTTTATTTTATTTTGTTTTATTTTTGAGACAGAGTCTCGCTGTTGTGGCCTGGGCTGGAATTCAATGGCACAATCTCAGCTCACTGCAACCTCTGCCTCCCCAACTCCAGCAATTCTCCTGCCTCAGCCTCCTGAGTAGCAGAGATAACAGGTACCCACCACCATGCCCAGCTAATTTTTGTATTTTTTAGTAGAGACGGGATTTCACCATGTTAGCCAGGCTGGTCTCGAACTCCTGACCTAAGGTGATCCACCTGCCTTGGTCTCCCAAAGTGCTAGGATCACAGGTGTGAGTCACCGCGCCCGGCTGATGAATGCTCTTCTTTAGGGGACAGGATTAGAATGGCAGTGAGTGAAATGCCTTCATACATCAGTGAAGTCGGGAGAGGTCGATTCTTTAAGACTGGAAAGTCAACCAGGCTGGACAATCTATACAGCAGGGGTCACTTTGATGTCAGCCGTGACTGATTAAAACATGGTGATAACACTGCCACAACCCTGTGTGTGCCAATGACTTCATATTTTTCCTCAGCCACAGGCTTCATGTCTCATTTTAGTCAATCATCTTTTTATATACCTTTACTCAGGCCTTATTGGACAACATTGTTAGTAGATCAGTGTAGATTCATTTGCCCCACAAAAAAAAAAAAAAAAAAAAAACTATTCAAAAATTATACCTTTACCTGTTTTCAAGGAGGGCTCACATTTCACTGCTGCACCATGCTGGGAAATACTTCTTATAAAAAGAGAGTGAGTCAACTGCTCAAAACACATAAAAAACTAGCTTATCCAATGTTATACCAGGGGTCAGAAGAGCTAAGTTTCTATTTTGTGCATAAGCAAGATTGTATTTTACCCTCTTCTAATTGATTTTCTAAAACAGACTGCCTTTGGGGTTGTTACTTTATTTGGCATATCCTGGAGAATATAAAGATAGGAACATATGTGAATAGATGTCACATGCACTTTCCAGAAATAAATTGGGGTGTGGCCATGTGAAATCACAGTCGAACACTCACATTGCCTCACTTCCTGCTCCTTCTGTACTCTAACACTGGAGTTGTCAGTACACAGAGTCACCACCAATGCTGGTCACAATGATTTCTTCAGGGATTTGATGGCATTTGGACTTCTCAGCCCTGACTCCTATGCATTTCCATTTAGTGGACTAGGTATCTATTCTAAGAATGCCTGATAATAGAATATTAAGACTACGTAAAAGAAAAAGTCCTGTAGATAAAAAAAAAAAAAAAAAACCTAAGAAAATACATCTTAAAATAGCTAGCCAAAATAATAATAATAATAATAATAATAATTAAAATATAAGAACAGAAAAGAAAAAAATGAGGAGTAATAATGGGGGGGTAGGGTCAGCTTTGCCTTAGTAAATCAGGAGATATTTTTAAGGTAAAATATTTAATTAAAACAGTAATGGTTACCAGAAGAGACAAAAAGATCAGTGGCAAAAAATAGAAAGTACAGACACAGAAATATTTATATTTGTTGCTATCTACATGTATATACACACAGATATATTTACAGATATGTCTGTGTATATGAATGCTTGTATGTATATGCATATATTTAGAGAGAGATTAGAAATAGGTGAGTTTAACATGTAGTAACTGTGATTAGTAGGGTATATATTTATTGTGAGTTTTTTGACAATGTGTTAATCATTTAAGAAAATTTTTAAATTAAGTATCTGTTTTACTTAAAATACCAAATTGCACATGTTAATCTTATATGTTAAAGATTTAAGTTTAAATAACAAAATTGTAAAATTCGAGGAGAGAATATGGTAACTATACATAATTGGGGTAAAGAGGACATTTTATGCACGACACTAAAGACAAAGCATGTAAAAGAAAGATGTCATACATTTGCTTACACAAAAATTAAAAGATTTTTGGCACAACACACCATGAATTTAAAAGGCAAATTAAAAATTTTGTAACAGTACGTGATAATTTATCTTAAAAATACCTTCTGATCTAAAAAACAATGACCCTACATTTGAAAAAGGCAAAAAAGTGTCATGCAAGAAATGGAGGGCCAGTAAAATACAAAACTATATTAATCACCCCAGAGATCAAAGAAACGAATATCCCAACATCAAAACGGCATATTTTGCCTTTTATATATAATTAGGTATAGTTCTTGACAATTCCCATTGTTGACAAATGTTCAAATAAAGTAACTATCTTATTCTTGGGATATGACCTTTCTGAGATGTAACTTGGCAATACACATCAAAACTGTTAAAGAACCATACTATTTGAACTTGCAATTATATGTTTAGGAACTTATTCTTAAAAGGAAGATGTTCATTGAAGTTTATGTAATTACAAAAATTTGTCAATACATTAATTATTGAGGAAGAGTATTATTCTGCCACAAAATACTAATTAGATAACTTTTTATAGATGTGGAAATATATTAATGACACTTTTTTGCATATATACATGCATATATAATACATATGCATATGATATATATACATGTAGTACATGTATATGTGTATATATGTCAGTACACATATACACACAGGGCAAGAGAAAGTGAGATACAAAATGTTAACATTGCCTATCTTCTGGAAGTAATTTATGGGTAGTTTTAAATCACATTTTTAAATTTTCCATAAAAAGATCTTCCAGAGTAAACATATTGTTTTTGCCTCTTAACAACAAAAACACTTTTGCTTGACCTGATACATTTTGTTTAATTTAATATTTTGTGTGTATATTTATACATATATTTATTAAATATTTTGTATTCTAACCTGCCAGAATGTTTTCATTATTAGGAAGTTTATAATTTAAAAGCACTTTAATAAAAGAGAATATGTGAAGAGAACTGAACCACTCTAACCTGAGAGATGAAT